GTGTAGTGGCTTGCACCTGTAATCCCAGCACTTTGGAAGGCTGAGGCAGGCAGATCACTTGAGCTCAGGAGTTCAAGACCAGCCTAGGCAACATGGCAAAACCCTGTCTCTACAAAAAAAAAAAAAAAAAAAAAAAAAAAACTAGCCAGGTATGGTGACATGTGCCTGTAGTCCCAGCTACTTGGGAGGCTAAGATGGGAGGATCACTTTGAGTCCATAAGCTGAGTCTGCAACCCTGGCCCTCTGGCCTGGGCAATAGAATGATAAACCATCTCAAAAAATGATGATTTAAAATTTTCATTGTGAATAGACAAATTATAGTTGTATACATTTATGGAGCATAAAGTGATGCTACGATTTTGAATACAATGTGGAATAATTAAATCAAGTTGATTAATATATCACCTAAATACTTATCATTTTTGTGGTGAGAACATTTGAAATTTATTCTCAGTGATTTTGAAATGCACAATCATATACTATTGTATTAGGCCATTCTCAAATTGCTATAAAGGAATACCTGAGACTGGATAATTTATAAAGAAAACAGGTTTAATTGGCTCATGGTTCTGTAGGCTATGCATGCATGGTACCTGACATCTGCTGGGCTTCTGGGGAGGCCTCAGGGAGCTTTTATTCATGGCAGAAGGCAGAGCACTTAAGAGCAGTGAAAGTAGGAGCAATAGAGAGGTGGGGGAGGTGCCACACACTTCAATCAACCAGATCTCCAGACTCCCTATTGTGAGGACAGCATCAATCCGTGAAAGATCCACTCCCATGATCCAATCACTTCCCACCAGGCCCCATCTCCAGCACTGGGGATTACAGTTTAACCTGAGATTTAGGTGAGGACAAATATCCAAACTCTATCAACTATTATTAACTATATTCAGCATGCTATGCAATAGATCTCAAAACAAACAAACAAACAAACAAATGTATTCCTCCTGAGGCCTTGTACCCTTTGACCATCATTTCCCCTATTTCCCTCAGCTCTCAGCCTCTGGTAACCACCATTCTACTTTCTGCTTCTATGGATTCAATTGTTTTAGATTCTACATGCAAGTGATAACGTGTGGTATTTGTCTGTGCCTGGCTTATTTCACTCAGCATCATGTTCTCCAGCTCCCTCCATGTTGTTGCAAATAACAGAATTTCTTTCTTTTTCAAGGTTGAATAGTATTCCATTGTTTATAGATAAATTTTCTTTATTTGTTCATCTGTCGATGGGGTAGACTCCAACTTGTATGCGGAATGTTAGCTGCATGGGAATCTGGGAAATAGAGTGCTTATCTCTGCAGCCTCTGCAGTATGAGGAAGTGTTTGGAATGGATGCTGAAAGTCAGTTCACCATGTCTACACCAGTCTATCTTTTTGGACTTTTAGGGACCTAAATCTGCTCCTTAAAATAAGAGACCCCAAATCCCACTAGTCACACAACTGATCCACCCTGGGTGATTATCATTCTAGTTCAGTTACAATTCTACCTTAACAGCATATAATCTAAACACTAAATTAACAAGTTACCAACAAGAATACATCTCATTATACTAGGGAAAATATGGGAGGGGAAAATGAGTTAATATCTGTAAATTAATACAATAGAGCAAGGAAGAAAATATGAAATGCTAATATAATGCCCATTTCTCAGCTTTTCATGAGTTAGTTGTTTATATTTATATATTTCTTTCTCCACTATCCAGTCCATGATCTTTCTTCCTCAGCCAGTACATGAACTGGATTAAGTTCTTTTTTATTTTTTTTTTGAGACAGACTCCCTCACTTGCCCAAGCTGGACTGCGGTGGTGTGATCTCCGCTCACTGCAAGCTCCACCTCCCGGGTTCACGCCATTCTCCTGCCTCAGCCTCCCAAGTAGCTGGGACTACAGGCGCCTGCCACCACGCCCAGCTGATTTTTTGTACTTTTAGTAGAGACAGGGTTTCACCGTGTTAGCCAGGATGGTCTCGATATCCTGATCTCGTGATCCACCCGTCTCAGCCTCCCAAAGTGCTGGGATTACAGGCGTGAGCCACTGCGCCCATCCAGATTAAGTTCTTTTTCTGGTGGGGTGACCCAAATCACAGAGGTAGACATTCTTTTAATTTCCACAGGGATTATCTCCTATCTTTAGAACACATGTTTTTCCAGGGCATTTGGATAACCTGCTACTTCTTGCTTACGAGGTTCCAGAACATGTAGAAAAATGTTCTGGGAGATGTGAGATCATTAAAGTGCCTGCAGATTAGATTGCGACAGAGCTGCAAGGGTGGTATAACCCAGACGCAGGGCAGTGTAATGTACTGTTGACCCTGACAAGTGAAAGTAATCTGTTTTTGATGCTTTCTGCTATTTGGGCTAGAGAAAAAAGCATATTCCAGGTCAGTACTCATATTGTTGCCTGACTGCAGGTGCCAGGGGCAGATGTTGATTTGCTTCATAAAGAGATTATATCTAAAATCACAGCTACAAATCAAGTCCTGCATAGGCCAAACAAGTAAATTAAATGTGGATATGATAGGAACCATCATTCCTGAAATTTCTGTCTTTGATGCAGACACTAATATCCATCATTCCCTTAGGGATGCACTATCACTTTTGGTTTATGTTTTCGGTGGGAAAGGGCAATTCCAAGGGTTCCCTTTGCTCTTCTTACCACAATAGCTTTCAATCCATGAGTCACTCAATGTGCAGATTCTATCAGTCGCCAAGTGCGTCTACTACAACTGTGCCTACAGGAACTGGGAATGAGTATGTGAGATTGATGCAGGCCAGAACTCCTTTTTATCACCTGACCCCCATATATTAGTTTGCTAGGGCTCTTATAAACTGTACCATAAAACTGGGTGCCTTAAGTAACGAAATTTATTATCTCACAGTTCAGGAAACTAGAAGTCCTAGATTTTGGCAGAGTTGGTTCCTTCCGTGGGTGTTGGGGAGGATCTGTTCCTTGCCGCTCCCAGCTTCTGATGGTTTGCTGGCAATCCTTGGCGTCCCTTGGCCTCTGCTGTATCACCCCAGTCTCTCCCTTCATCTTCACATGGTGCTTAGGCTACGTGCATGTCTTTGTGTTCAGATTTCCCCTTTTTATATGTACAACAATCGGATTAGGGGGCCACCCTTCTCCAACATGACCTCATCTTAATTATATCTGCAACAACCCCATTTTCCAAATAAGGGCGCATTTTGAGGTACTAGGGGCTAGGACTTCAGCATATGATTTTTGGTGGAGGGGACACAATTCGACCCATAACACCACGAAAGCCTCTATTCTAACTAGTGGACCACAAAGGCTTTTTAGGTCTTGAGATTTGTGCTGGCTTAGGGCCAATCTCCAAGTAATCCCTGAAGGCCTGGGTATTTCCATTTCCCTAAACACACGTAGGTAGTTGAATGGCTTGAGATCCCTTTGGGGAAAGCTAGAAGATTTATGGTATAGTTACGGTGGTGCTGCTGGGTGCTTCCTCCAGGGTATCCTGCACCCCCTTTTTCAAGGGCTTCAGCTCTGAGAATTGTGGGTAAATCTTCATTTTGGTGACTCAAAACAGGCCTCTATTTGCCAGACCTGAAGCTTTGTTTTGTGTTCTATAAGCCAAATAGAACCTTGGTAGGTAACCCATATATTTCATCACTCTAGCTTTGTTGCCTTGGTACTAGCCCTTGGCCCCTGGCACTGCAGGATTCCATCATCCCTACTGATATCAGGGATTCCTTTACAATGGTAACATCTCTTAGCTTCATTTCCAGCCTAGGGAAGGTATACACTACACACTTTTCAAGATAAGGTGTTTCCCTTATTTAATGTAGTTTTCAATTCCTTGCTGAAAGGAATAACCTCTTGGCAATGCTGAAGGGCAAAATTAGGAGGTAAGCATATCACACCTATGATAAATCTACAAATCAGTGTTTTCAGCATCATATTTTGAAATTAATTAATTAATTTATTTGAGAGAGTCTTGCTCTGTCACCCAGGTTGGAGTATAGTGGTGCGATCTCGGCTCACTGCAACCTCTGCCTCCCGGGTTCAAGAGATTCTCATGCCTCAGCCTTCTGAGTAGCTGGGACTACAGATGCGCACCACCACGCCCGGCTAGTTTTTGTATTTTTAGTAGAGATAGGACTTCACCATATTGGTCAGGCTGGTCTGGAACTCCTGGCCTCAAGTGATCCACCCACCTCAGCCTCCCAACGTTCTGGGATTACAGGCATGAGCCACCATGCCCAGCTGATTCTCTTTTTTGAGATGGGGTCTAGCTCTGTTGCCCAGGCTGGAGTGCAGTGGCACGATCATAGTTCATTGCAGCCTCAAATCCCTGAGTTCAAGGATCTTCCCACTTTAGCCTCCTGAGTAGCTGGAACTATGCAGGCACACACTACCATGCCCAGCTAATTTTTAAACTTTTTGTAGAGATGGGGTCGGGTCTCGCAATATTGCCCAGGCTAGTTTCAAACTCCTGGCCTCAAACAATCCTCCCACCTCAGCCTCCCAGAGTGCTGGGATTACAAGCATGAGCCACAATGCCTGGCCTTGATTCTTCTTCTAATGCTACACTAAGGAATTTTTGCCATCTCTGTATAGGCCACTTTTAAGTCCAGGTTTCATCCAACAACCTGTTAAGAGCCATTCTTGGCTGGTAGCAGTGGCTCACGCCTGTAATCCCAGCACTTTGAGGCCGAGGTGGGCAGATCACCTGAGGTCAGGAGTTCAAGACCAGCCTGGCCAACATGGTAAAACCCTGCCTCTAGTAAAAACACAAAAAGTAGTCAGGTGTGCTGGCATGTGCCTGTAAATCCAGCTACTAGGGAGGCTGAGGTGGGAGGATTGCTTGAACTTGGGAGGCAGAGGTTGCAGTGAGCCGAGATTGCGCCTCTGCACTCCAGCATGGGTGACAGAGCAAGACTCTGTCTCCAAAAAAAAAAAAAAAAAAAATTCTTAGCTGCTAAGGCCAATATGCTGAGTCCAGAACCTCTAGTATCCCCATATTGATAAATTCAACTCAAGTGAAAATAAATGTATATTCCTACCTTCCTGGTCCAACATCTTTGGAATACACTCTACACGTTTTCCCCTTGTTTCTGCTGATACAAATTAGCAAAGTCTTACAACTCTTCTGTAAGTCTTCTCTCAGATCAGACTTTGGGTTTGCCTTCCAGAAGCATACTGGGATCTGACTCTAGTTAGAGCTGGTAGCAAGGAGGGGTAGGGGGTGGGACATGAGAAGTATTAGTATTCCCTTTTAGGACAACTACCCCAAGATCTTCAAACAGCAGAACCAGCCATATGTATGAGGGGAAGAAGGGCTGCTTCTGCTGCTTAAGAGAAGTGGAGTCTGTGAGTTGACAGCACTCGAATTTATCCAAATCCACTCAAGGGTCCCCACTGCTCATTTCAGGGCCCCACTTTCACATAAGAGGCCTGGTAAAGCTACGAATTCAACTTACGTTGTATGTAATTCAGTGATCCAGAATATCCCTTTGATTTTGATGTACATGAGCCTTGCAGCTACAAAAGATAAAATTCTTTTGGGTCTCTCCCATACTATGCCTTGAGCTGAAAATGTCAAACTTTTGAGCTTTTCATCTTTTTCCTCTAACCCCTCTAGTGTAGTCACCATCATTTGTCCCCATTTCTTACATGATGATCTATTATGGCAGCCCTTTGAGGTGCCAATGTCTTTTCTTCAAAAGACATTTCATTTCAGGTGACCACAGGTGTAAGCAATTTGCCTACCAGTTTATCATTTTCCAGTGGCGACTAGATCTACATTTCCTTCAAATGCAGCTTAGTCATAACTATTCTAAGAGGCCCATCTTTGAGGTCCTGTTGCTAGTAACCACTTTTGGAACCAAATATTATATTAGCCAGGATTCAGTAACTGCAGAAAACAATACCCCTTTACCAATTTTAAGTAGAAAAGGATTCAATACAGGTCAATTAGGTGCTTACAAAAGCATTGGAAAGCCTGGGGAACATGGCCATAGGCTGGGCCTCCAGGAGATTCCCAGACCCGGAATTAGCCTTCCATGTGAGCTGCTACCTCTGCCACCAAAGGGGAGATGAGGAGTTAGGAGGCCACTACAGGTTGACTACAAGAAAACATCACAAACTGCTATCTATGGATCCAGACACCCTTCAACACCCACAAAGCTACTGATGGATATTAGAATGCAGTTAAAGAGAAACCTACATCTTGCAGGAGCAATAGCCAAAGTAGCTAAAGATAACCCCTGAATCACTCCTTCTTCCACATCTTGTTTGTGCATCTAATTGGCAAAACTCAACCTTAGGTTACCTTCAGAACCTTGGTTTCAAGGAAATCTAAGACATGAAGGTTTTAGTTTTCCAGCCTCTGCAGCATAAGAAGGTACCTTAGGTGAAAATAAATAAGTATTCATTTACCATATCCACAAGCTTCTTCACATTGGCCTGTCCAAGTAGTACTAGTGATCAGACATGCCCCCTCCCAGTTTCAGCCCCTTTGAAAGCTGGCTGCAAGCACTGCATCTGTCTGGCGTTGAAGACTACCTCTTCCTGGCCCAGAGAAATCTAAAATTTCCTTGTCTTCAGAGTTGTTTGGCTAATCTACACAACCTTGCCCCAGCCACATCTTTGACCTAATCCACTCCTCTCCCCATCTTGGTCCACTTTGTTCCAGCCATATAGGCCTTTATACTGTGCTTTTTTGGAAACAGACTAAGGATGCTCTACCAAAGGGCCTTTGTACTTTATTCCTCATGTCTGGTATGTGCTTCCCCTAGATATTCACATAGTTATATCTTCCTTGCTCCATTAAAGGCTCTAATAATAATGGAACCTTATCAAGGAGGCCCAACCTGGTCATGTCAAGTAGCACTATCTACCACTCTGTCTTCCGTTTTTCTTCAGAGTACTTATCCTCAATCCAGATTATATATCTGATTGCTTTCCCCCACTAGAGTCTAAGTTCCATGGGGACAGGAACTTGGAATTTTAGTCATTGCTACATCTTATACCTGAAATGCCATAGGTATTTCAGAATGAATGCAGGCTGTATGAAGAGGAAATTAAACTTTCCCCATTTTGTAAGCTACTATAAATTTTCTAATGCATTACTTGTGTTTGCCTCTAGGTGGTGATGATGGGCCTTTTCATCTGCTAATGTGTTGCTAAGGATTAGAATGAATTTAAATGTTTCATAGCCTCTGGCCTAGAGGTCTAGGCTTCCTTTCTTATTTGATATCTAAAATCTCCTTTAACTCATTTCTTCTTATTCCTGCAGGAGGAAAAAACATGGGCCTTTACCAAAACATTTTCAGTATACCATCTCAGTCTTCACAACCCCATAACTAGGATCATCATCTCCATTTTGGCTAATTGAAAACAGACTGAGAGTAAACTGCCCAAATCTCACAGCCGTAGTAAGTGGAACCCAGATAAGAAATACAGGTTTGGCCATAAACTACTGCCCCTCCAACAGCAAAGAAGTGAATTGTTCTCTTGAGGCTTCAAGAGAATTCCAAGTTTTGAGTTGATAATTTGCGTTTCAGAGATCTCCAGGCTGTCTGCCTCTTTTTCCAACAAGTTCTCTTTTTCACACAAGTACACGCCCCCTTCAGGGAACATTCTTCCAGAAATCCAAAGTCCACTAACAGCATTTCCTGTCCTAGGTGCAGGGAAACGTGTGAAGTCTGGCTGCAGTGCCCAAGAGATAAGAATCTTCCAAGCTGGCTGTTGTCCAGACTTGCCCTCCTCATTGTAGTAAAACACTGGCCAGGAAGACAAAAGTGCATCTGTGAAAGGAAACAGAAAGCCATCTGGTCCTCAGGGAAAGGAGGATTTCAATTTTTCCTCTGGGCCCAGGGCTAAGGTGATAGAGGTCTGACACTGGAAGCTCTTTAAATGCAATCTGAGGGCTGGGTGAGGTCGCTCATGCCTGTAATCCCAGCACTTTAGGAGGCCAAGGGCGGGGGAATCACTTGAGGTCAGGAGTTCCAGACCAGCCTGGCCAAAATGGCAAAACCCCGTATCTACTAAAAATACAAAAATTAGCCGGGCGTGGTGGCACGCACCGGTAATCCCAGCTACTCGGGAGTCTGAGACTTGAGAATCACTTGAACCCAGGAGGCAGAGGTTGCAGTGTGCCAAAATCATGCCACTGCACTCCACCCTGGGGGACAAGGCCAGACTCCGTCTCTAAATACATAAATAAGATCTAAAAGTTGGGGAAGTTAGGGGCATGAAACGGACTCATATAGTCAAAGTAAGTCACTGCAAGATTTGGAATCTGACATCAGGTTTCACGAGTCTTCTAATTTTCTTGCTATAGTATATATAAGCTTTAATTTCTAAGGACATTATTTTATTTTTTCAGACGGAGTCTCACTCTGTCGCCCAGGCTGGAGTGCAATGGTGCGATATTGGCTCACTGCAACCTCTGCTTCCTGAGTTCAAGTGATTCTCCTGCCTCAGCCTCCCGAGTAGCTGGACTACAGGCACCTGCCACCATGCCCAGCTTATTTTTGTATTTTTAGTGGGGATAGGGTTTCACCATGTTGGCCAGGATGGTCTTGATCTCCTGACCTTGTGATTCACCCGCCTCAGCCTCCCAAAGTGCTGGGATTGCCCGCATGAGCCACTGCCCCTGGCTCATTATTTTTTTATTTTATTTTTGAGATGGAGTCTCCCTCTGCCGCCCAGGCTGCAGTGCAGTAGGTGATCTCAGCTCACTGCAACCAGCACCTCCCAGGTTCAAGCGATTTTCCTGCCTCAGCCTCCCAAGTGGCTGGAGTTACAGACACATGCCACCAGGCCTGGCTAACTTTTGTATTTTTAGTAGAAATGGGGGTTTCACCATGTTGACCAGGCTGGTCTCGAACTCCTGACCTCAAGTAATCTGCCTGTCTCGGGCTCCCAAAGTGCTGGGATTACAGGCGTGAGCCACTGTGCTTGGCCAGGACATTATTTTATACAGAGCCAAAACTCCTTGTAGTACAAACTTAGCTCAATTTTGACAAATTTGTAAGATCAGATAAATATGTTTAGAGATTTTGAGGGCATATCCCCTCCTTTCATTACAAATCTCACATTCCTTAGTCCCTTTTATTTAAACCAGATTAGAAAACCTGAGAAAGTTTTTTAGAACATGGAGTGGTATACCTGAGAGCACAGCAAACACCTATGTCATTGCTTTGTGATTATGTGCATCAGTATATTTCTTCCTCCAGTAACAGAATATTCTGTTCTCCAACTTGTAACCATGCAACATTCACTGAGAACTCTTTTTTTATGAGACAGGGTCTCCGTCACCCAGTCTGGAGTTGCAGGGATCTCAGCTCCCTGCAACCTCTGCCTCCCCAGGCTCAAGCAATTCTCCTGCCACAGCCTCCTGAGTAGCTGGGATTACAGGCGTGCACAACGACTGCCTGGCTAATTTTTGTACTTTTAGCAGAGGCGTGGTTTCACCATGTTGGCCAGGCAGGTCTCAAACACCTGACCTCAAATGATCCACCTGCCTTGGCCTCCCACAGTGCTCGGATTATAGGCGTGAGCCACCGTGCCTGGCCACTGAGAATTCTCTTAAGAGCTACCTGGGACTGCCACTCCTTCCCTCCTCTGAAGCATATGACTAATAGTGACTATAATGAAGAAAAGGGTAGATAAAGCTTTAAGAGTAAATTGCACAGTTGCCTCTAGAGGGCAAACAAGGTTAGTTTTAATCTACTGCTTCCCTATTCAGCTGACTCAGCTAATAATTCTTCAGTCTGACTACAAAGTCCAAAACAAGCCTAGCTTTGCTTCCTGTCATGCTAGGACTCAGGTTTATAGATGACTACTGTGGTTGGATTTGAATACAATCCTTCTTCCCTGGGATTAGAAAAATTCAGGTCTAGAGACTGTCAAAGATGGTGCTCTGTTTCAATCAAACACTTGGCTCTGTGGGACTATCCAAGCCAAGGAAAATGAGTTAAGTTGAATTATGACAGAAATCTTTATTAAAATGTGTCTTTCAGTAATATGTTTAGCATTCAATATACACACATACATATTTACACTCTTTGACACACCTCACGGATTGCTGCCATCAGTTTAACCAATAAATTAAAACTAAAAAGAGGGAGGGGGGGGAGGGGGACTAACGCCAAACTTTTCGTGTTTTATCTGGTAAGAAACTGTGAATTTCTCAGAATTTCCCTGGGTGAAAACCTGTAACCAGAGAATCTTTGAAATAAAATACATAAATCCCTACCCCTTGCCAAAAAAAACACAAAAAAACAAAACAAACAAACAAACAAAAAAAAACAAAAACCAAAAGATACAGTTACAAGTGTGCTTCTCAGAACAGGAGCATACATTCCACTTCATACTCTGGCTTCTCCACCTTCTGGCTTCAAGACAGTTTGTCCCTCGGCTAGGGCAGAGAGGTTCATATGGGCACTTGGGCTCGGTGCACCTTGGGCTCTGGGGGTCGAGGGGCAGGCTGCAGTATGGGAGCGGGGGGAGCCACACTCATCTGAAGTGATGTCTGGCACATCGTCTGACTGTGTATCAGAGCTCTCTAGGTCACTGCGGATGCTTTCAGGCTGGGCCAGGCTGATGTCCCAAGGTTTGCTGGCCAGGCAGTCTTTCTGTTCACAGCTTTGGTGTCTGCAGGGGGGATCCTCTTCACTGCCTCCGCCACCACTACCTTCTTCTTCATTCTCTGCCATCTGAGCATGAACATGGAGCGAGTCCTCCGTGCTGCTTCCACTCACCAGCTGATAGTGGCTTGGTTTGGCTTCAATGTCCACTTGGATTTCCATATTGTTGCATTCTCTGTGGAGACAAAATCCACTTTGCTGAGTCATGCATGAGTCATGCTAAACCTGTTGGTAAAAGCAGTTTGTGGGTTCAGGATTAGGAATTTCAAAAAGATAGGTAAACAGTGAGCTAGAGCTCACTTTTAACAAAAATAACATTTTAATCTAACACTCAAATGAGATGGAGGCTGGATGTGGTGGCTCATGCCTATAACCCCAGTGCTTTGGGAGGTCGAGGTGGGAGGATCGCCTGAGTCTAGGAGTTTGAGACCAGCTGGGGCAACAAAGTCAGACCCTGTTTCTAAAATGAAAAAACATTAACTGGGCATGGAGGCACATCCTGTAGTCCCAGCTACTCGGGAGGCTGAGTGGGAAGATCACTTAAGCCCAGGAGTTCAAGGCTGCAGTGAGCTATGATTGTGCCACTACACTCCAGCGTGGTTGACAGAGCAAGACCCTGTCTCTAAAAAAATAAAAATAAAAATAAATTACATGGAGAAGAGGAATTAGGTCCTTTTTGCTGATTTAACTATACATGCACACGTGTGCTCAGATGCACACCCACATATATCTCAGCCAATCTCTTTTAACATATAGAAAGAGCTGCCAAAATTCAACTAAGGGTCAGAGCCCCACGCTAGCTTACTCAAAATAGAAAAGTAAAAGTTTTTTACTACCATGCCACAAGTAGAAGAAGCCAGAATACCTACCAGTGGGAGTACCACAATCACACCATCCCAGATACACTAGTTTCTCAAAATGAAAGAGAAAGAAGCTATGGGAACCCTATCAAGCAAAGGGCAAGCAGAAACCCTAGACTCGAAGACATCAATGAACCCCAATCTAGCTCTTTAAGTTCCATGTAATTATACACTGTTGCAATAGCCAAAAACGACAAAAAATAAAAAAAAAAAAGAATGAAAAAAATATATAAAAGGAAGAAAGAAATCTCTAAAAATCAAGTACTAACAAGAAGAATCAAGAGATGCCAAACACTCTAGTACCAAGAACTTGCTCAAATGAATTCACAGGTTACACTATATATCCCACAAAATGGTACACAGAACTCTAACATGAGGCATTGAACTTCTGAAGACCTAGTACCCAACCAAAAAATGCAACCTCTCCTGGACATCTGACTGTTCACATACCTGTCCTGTGGGTTGTAGGAACTGATTATGGAACCGGCCATAGCACGAGTGCTTGCGTTGTCACTAATTGCACCAAGACTGGCTGTGTCTTTGGGGAAAATTTCCTTTTGGACATCGGCTTGAACTTCTAACCTGTGTAAAGAGGGGACGTTCAAGTTAATATGAGACCTGAGTATTCCAAGACAGTCTGCTTCCTGGCACACATCTCTTCCATTACTCTCCTGCAAACTGTGGTTGTCTGATCTCCAATTGTCAAACAGCGCAAATAGATGCCCATACATTTTTTCTCTTAAATATCTATTGAAATCGTCCCCTCCTTTCTATCCCCACAGCTACTGCTTAACTTCAGGTTTTCATCATCTCCTGCCTGGACGACTACAATTGGGCTCCCTCTCCAGTAGCCCTTAAGTCCAAGTCAAACAACCTCTAGAACAGTGCCAGTGTGAATAAAGAACCAATCACTCTAACAATTCTCTAATTCTTGGCTCCCTACTGCCAACAGGCATTTAAGATCTTCCTGATCTGCCAGGAAGCTCTCTGTCCAGTTCTATTACTCCCTATAGATCCGAAATCATAGTCACTCTGAATTTTTTCTTTCTTTAAATACCTATACATTTTATACTTCCGTGACTTTGCACACGCTATTTCGTCTCTCTAGACATTTCCTTTCTCTACCAGACAAACTTATACTCAGTCCTTAACAACAAAGGAAACATCACTTCCCCTTTCATCCCAGCAAACCATTCACTTCTTGCTAAGTACCCCCATAGCACCTGCCTACTTATTATTTTTTTTAGAGGGAGTCTCACTCTGTCACCCAGGCTGGAGTGCAGTGGCACGACCTCGGCTCACTGCAACCTCTGCCTCCCAGGTTCAACCGATTCTCCTGCCTCAGCCTCCCAAGTAGCTGGGATTACAGGTTCCCACCACCACACCCAGCTAATTTTTGTAATTTTAGTAGAGATGGAGTTTTACCATGTTGGCCGGGCTGGTCTTGAACTCCTAACCTCAGGTGATCGCCCACCTAAAAAAGGTGCTGGGATTACAGGCATGCGCAGGCCCTGCCTACTCATTATTATGCATCTCTGACTCCTCTGTTAACTCCACAAAAGGAGAAACCACAACTCATTCATACTTTACCTTCCCTGCCTTGCACATAATAGCAAATCAAACATTTAACAATAAAATTACCGCCAGGGAATGAGACTGAAGGACATACAGGAGCCAACCTCTTCCCTCCTCTTGGAGCAGCAAACTTTCCCAGTAGTATCTTAGAGCCCATAACTATTTCCTTTCTTGGCTCCAACACCACTTTGTTGCACACTTAAGTATTTCCTCATAATGGGTTTCACAGTCAAACCCATCTGACTCATTCATTTCCTATAAAATAAAGGCTTTCACAGAACTAGAACAGCTGGACTGGCTAAGCTGCAGTTTCAGCAAGTCAGTCTCCAATTATGTCTGTCTGCTTATTTACAGGGGTGTTGGTTTTAAGAAAGCACAGCAGTGAATACGCCAGCATGTGGGGGCGGGATCCCCTGACAAGAGACAACCAGAGTCATAAGATGCACAGACGGGTCAGTAGCAGCCTGCAGCTGCACATTCAAGCAGCTTCCATCCTACTGCCTGAGCCTTTGCTCTGCTGCTCCAGCCTCAGGTGCCCTTCAAAAATGTGCCAAGGCCCAGGGAAATGAGGGAATGCATGGAAAGTGCATAGTGTCAGAGACCTGGGGTCTAGTTTCGGGTCTGCCACAGAATCACTCTGAGTTGGAAGAGTCTTTCAGAAAGGCCTCCTACTTACATGGTTCTCAGATGCTGGTTCATGCAATGGCTGTGCTAGAATTACCTGGGGAGCTTTTTCAAAACACAGATCACCCCCTAGGTGCCACTCCAGGAAATTCTAAGTTATAAATTCTGGGATGGGGCCCTGAAGTCTATTTTTAGGAGGCTCCCAGGTGACTGACAGGCACTCAGGTGTGAGATCCAGTCCACCTGCCATCTGTTGCTCGAATCCTTCTTATAGCCAAATGGCCATCTGGTCTCACTGTAAACATTTCCAGGGATAGGCAGCTCAGTATCTACTAAGGTAGCCTTTTTCCTCTTTGGGCTTTCATGTTGCTTTTCCCTGTATTCACTATACTGAACAAAAATTAGTTTCCCTTTAGCTTCTGTCAAGTCATAAATATACATGACTATAATCTACCTTTTGGTATGAGGCATAGAAGTCTAATCCTTTTCACAGTTGAAGGTCCTTCAGATAGCTGAAGGCAACCATCTCCCTCTTCCTATCCTGCTTTGTTCTACCTTTACCCCCACCAGGCCTTTCTTCTCCATTGCATTCAACTAACTGCTTCTCAGGCAACATGTTATGCTCCTCTGAAAATATATACTCTGGTCTGCCTAACTAGTGAAATAACCAAGCAAGTCACAACCTTTCTAGTTACAAAGCTTTACATATTTTCAACACAAGTACATAGAATTGATTTCCCTTACCTAGCAAATGGAAACAGAAAGGTAATAAGGATTGCAATATCAATAAACCAGCTGGGAGCAATGGTTCATGCCTATAATCCTAGCACTTTGGGAAGCCGAGTTGGGAGGATGGCTTGAGGCCAGGAGTTCAAGACCAGCCTGGGCAACAGAGCAAGACCCCATCTCCACAAAAAATTTAAAACGTTAGCTGGGTGTGGTGTGTGTACTTGTAGTTCTAGCTACTCAGGAGGCTGAGGTGGTAGGATTGTTTGAGTCCAGAAGGTTGAGGCTGCAGTGAGCCATGATTGTGCCACTGCACTCCAGCCTGGATTACAGAGTGAGAAAAAAAAACAAAAAAATACCCCCAAAGCCCACTATCAATAAACCACGATGGGCTGGGCACACTGGCTCACGCTTGTAATCCAAGTACTTTGGGAGGCTGAGACAGGTGGATCACAAGGTCAGGAGCTTGAGACCAGCCTGGCCAACATGGTGAAACCCTGACTCTACTAAAAATACAAAAATTAGCCGGGCATGGTGGTCCGTGCCTGTAGTCCCAGCCTCTCGGGAAGCTGAGGCAGGACAATCACTTGAACCCAGGAGGTGGAGACTGCAGTGAGACAAGATCGCGCCACTGCACTCCAGCGACATAGCAAGACTCCGTCTCAAAAAATAAAATAAAATAAATAAGCCATGATACAGCATAAATGCTACTGAAAGTCAATGACAAGCCTAATGGAGACCACAGCTTTAGGAATTCTATAAAAATGCCTACTCTCCCTTCCTGAAGCAGTCAGCCTCGGGCAGTCAAGGGAGAATCCGAAGTCAGGATTATCCTTTATATAGAGGCAGCTATGGTGCAATGGAAAGAACACTGAACTTTGCATAACTGATGTAACCTTTTTTTCTAAGCTTGTTTCCTATTTGCAAAAGTAAAAAAAAAAGGCTGAGTGCGGTGGCTCACGCCTGTAATTCCAGTGCTTTGGGAGGCAGAGGCTGGTGGATCACAAGGTCAGGAGTTCAAGACCAGCCTGGCCAAGATAGTGAAACCCCGTCTCTACTAAAAATACAAAAAATTAGCTGGGCGTGGTGGCGGGTGCCTGTAATCCCAGCTACTCAGGAGGCTGAGGCAGGAGAATCGCTTGAACCCAGGAGGCAGAGCTTGAGGTGAGCTGAGATTGCGCCACGGCACTCCAGCCTGGGCGACAGAGCGAGACTCCGTCTCAAAAAAAAAAAAAAGTAAAAACAAAACAAAACAAAACAAAAACCATCAACAATGAAATCAAAATAAGATGCTCTATGGCACAAGCCTGGCACAGAGAAATGGCTCAATGCATTACTTCTTATAATTCTAACCATTTCTGTCAGAAATTATCTATTTGTTTACCTGCTGTATTTTCCCTTGCCACTGGAGAGAATGCCGCCACTTAGCGTGCCCCCTGAGAGGGCTGCAAAGCTGGCTGTTTCGCTGTAAGGACCTTGCATAACACTGAGTCCATCTGTAGGGCTTCCACTAGTGCTCAATACACTAGTCAGGCCTTCAATGCTGCTTTCCCCAATGCTGGGATTCTTGAGGGCTCTCCAGGCATCTGCCACTGGGGATAGAACCAGACATCTCAAATCAAGACAGCAGAGCATCCAAACAGTGGGCATTTTCCTGCAATGACTTTTCAGAGTACTAATGTATTCACTTAATGAACAGGTACTGTGTGCAGTCGCCACATATCGAGTGTTTTAACATATGTTCATATTTAATCCTCCAAATAACTAGGCATTAGTAGCCTCAATTTTAGGTGAGAAAACTAAAATTTAAAACTAAATGACTTGTCCAAGGCCATGGCAGTTACACGAAACTATAACTCTGATTCCAAGTCCACTATTCTTTCCACTACACTGTTGCTTCCATGTAACCAAATGTGAAGATTTAAAAAATATGTTTGGGTCATGTGCTGATTTTAATAGGAAGCTTCCAGTAGAAAGCTAGAAGAACCTTTGGGGATCTCTGTGCCCTACGTTAGTTACTACGGTAAGTAGAAACCACATTAAAGTAAAAGTCAGTCAAGCCTGTAATCCTAGCACTTTGGGAGGCCGAGATGGGTGGATCGCGAGGTCAGGAGATCGAGACCTGGCTAACACAGTGAAACCCTGTCTCTACTAAAAAATAACAAAAACTAGCCGGCCGTGGTGACAGGTGCCTGCAGTCCCAGCTACTCGGGAGGCTGAGGCAGGAGAATGGCGTAAACCCGGGAGGGGGAGCTTGCAGTGAGCTGAGATCCGGCCACTGCACTCCAGCCTGGGTGACAGAGCGAGACTCTGTCTCAAAAAAAAAAATAAATAAATAAATAAAGTAAAAGTCAGAAGACTTGCTCTAGTCTCAGCTCTGTGAAGCTCTTAACAGATAGTGAGACAAAAGCTTAAAAAAATTCCCATTTAGGCCAGGTGTGGTGGCTCACGCCTGTAATCCAGCACTTTGGGAGGCCAATGTGGGCGGATCATGGGGTCAGGAGATTGAGACCATCCTGGCTTAACACGGTGAAACCCCAAACCCTGTCTCTACTAAAAAAAAAAAATTGGCCAGGCATGGTGGCACGTGCCTGTAGTCCCAGCGACTTGGGAGGCTAGGGCAGGAGAACTGCTTGAACCTGGGAGGCGGAGGTTGCAGTGAACAGAGATCGTGTCACCGTACTCCAGCCTGGGTGACAGAGGCTCTGTCTCAAAAAAAAAAAAAAAAAAAAAAAGAAATTTCCATTTAAATGGGGATAATAGTCCCATCCTCCCTAGTCAGAGAGCTGTTTGTTGTAAAAAGCAAGTGAGGGCCGGGCGCGGTGGCTCAAGCCTGTAATCCCAGCACTTTGGGAGGCCGAGATGGGCGGATCACGAGGTCAGGAAATCGAGACCATCCTGGCTAACACGGTGAAACCCCGTCTCTACTAAGAAATACAAAAAATAGCCGGGCGAGGTGGCAGCGCCTGTAGTCCCAGCTACTCGGGAGGCTGAGGCAGGAGAATGGCGTGAACCCGGGAGGCGGAGCTTGCAGTGAGCTGAGATCCGGCCACTGCACTCCAGCCTGGGCTACAGAGCGAGACTCCGTCTCAAAAAAAAAAAAAAAAAAAGCAAGTGAGATAATTGTGTAAAATACTCTGAAAATTATCAAATACTGTGCAGATATAGAGACGTTATTATAATCACTACTACTACCAGCATACTTGGAGTTACTTGGAATCCTACTAGTTTGTACCTGCCACACAGAGGCAAGTACCAGGGGAATTAACCTAGTAACTTTGGAACAAAGAAATGAAAAGCTAAAAATACTTTACCCCCTACAAAGCTCATTATCCAAAGTAATCCAATGACAATCTCCCTGTAAAATGTGCTGAATTTTACTGATTTTTATCTTATATATCATAAATTCAAATGACAATAAACATCCTGCTTTTTACCTGTGATTGGACCATCATCTTCATCAAATTCAATTTTCACTCCTTTTCCGTTGGCTGTGCTAACTCCACAGCCACCTCCACGACAAAGAGAAATAGGCACAACCCCATAGACATATGCCAGCATAATGGGGACACCAATACCTGGGGGAAGAGAAGGAAACATGTCAGCTGGCTATTAGGTTGCAAGTGCCCTGAATTCTTCTTCCCAGTCCAGGCACGGACAAACTACTTTATAAAGAAAAAAAAGACAGAAAATGGCTATCCCAAAAAGGTTGCCTGGTGTAACAGAATGATGATCAGGCTAGAAATCAGAAAGGTCTGGATTACATTCTTGGCTCCATTTACTAGCTGTATAACCTTGGACCTATCTTCCAGGGTTGTCAATAATCAAATGAGAATGTTATGTACTGTGCCTTGCACAGTAAATATATGTTGCTTTCATTTTCCCCTCTTCTAATCACTGCTGAAATGCTAACCCAACCAAGAATCAAATATTAAATAAGTGACTACTGCTTGGAGTTTAGGATCTCCTCAGGATGTTAATTCCAAAATCTTACTGCTGTGTGAGGTAGAATGATTTACCTGTTAAGAGCACGGGATCTGAAGGCAGATTAACTTGATTCATGTCCCAGCTAAGTGACCTTGGGAAAATTACTGTACCTTTCTTTTTTTTTTTTTTTTTTTTGAGACAGAGGCTCGCTCCGTCGCCCAGGCTGGAGTGCAGTGGCGCGATCTCAGCTCACTGCAAGCTCTGCGTCCTGGGTTCACGCCATTCTCCTGCCTCAGCCTCCCGAGTAGCTGGGACTACAGGTGCCCACCACCACAGCCAGCTAATTTTTTGTATTTTTAGTAGAGACAGGGTTTCACCGTGTTAGCCAGGATGGTCTCGATCTCCTGACCTCGTGATATGCCCACCTCAGCCTCCCAAAGCACTGGGATTACAGGCGTGAGCCACTGCACCCAGCCAATTACTGCACCTTTCTATTAAAATTGTGCTTCCTTTTGTGAGGATTAAATAAATTAATATATGCAAAATTCTCAGAACCACTCCTGGCACACAAAGAGCCACATTAAATGTTACACTACTACTATTCTAAAACAAACTTTTATGCCTCCTAAAGTAATGTGAAGCATTAAACAAATCAAAACAAAAGTCATTTTGTTTTGTGGATTTCATGGCAAGTACAGAAGGAAGATGAAAGGTGAAAACTAGGGCTTAAAATAAGTTTATTCAACCTTTTCTATGTGCCAAACGCAGTTCTAGGCATTAATTTAAGAACAAAAGATCGCACAATCTGATAATTTGGTGTGGCTGAAAAACTTAAAAATAATCATAATCATGGTGCCTAATAGAATTAACTATCAAGGTGGGTTGGCATAAAATGTAGGAGTCTTTGAGAAACATCTGGCCATCTGGCTAAACTACTATGGTCAGAAAGCTGAGAGAGAAGAGGTGTGTGGTCCTGACCAGCTTACCAACACTAACTGCAGCAATAACTGGGGATGCAATGACAGACAAAGTCACTCCTCCAGTGATAGCCAAATTCCTCTTGTGTTTGGAGGTTTTCCTTCCCTCATACCTGCTGTGAATCTAAGAACAAAAAAAGAAAATCCAGGTCAGCAGGTTAGGACATCAATCTTTTGCCAGAGAAAAAAAGGACAGGTGACCATTTGTAAGTTATCTATGTATTAAAACATATCCTCTACCCCAAATAGGCATCTTTCTCAAATTTTAACCTAACTCAGACCTAGAAGATATAAAACAATACAGACAAAGTTAAACCAAAAAGAGACAAAATAACTCAAGGGAATGAAGTAAGCATTTTACCTTCTTCTTCTTCTTTTTTGTTTTTGGAGTCTGTCACACAGGCTGGAGTGCAGTGGTGCGATCTTGGCTCACTGCAACCTCTACCTCCCTGGGTTCAAGCAATCCTCCCACCTCAGCCTCCCTAGTAGCTGGGACTATAGCCACATGCCACCATACCTAGCTAATTTTTCTATTTTTGGGGGCAGAGATGGGTTTGCATGTTGCCCAGGCTGGTCTCAAACACCTGGGCTCAACCGATCTACCTGTCTTGGCCTCCCAAAGTGCTAGGCCATGTATTACAAATGTGAGCCACCATGCCCAGCCCAGCATTCTACCTTTAAGTCACTGAGACAAGCCAGGTTCAGGATGTTAATCAGAACTTTCAGATCTCATGGGGGTTTATGAAAATCAATTTAAGAAAGGAAGGTTATTTTTATCTAAGAACCAGCTGGTTTTCAGGCAGCTCTGAAACACAGCTCCTTCCCATTTCCCTCAAACCTTTACCAACGAACCTAAAGTTGAAACAAGCACAGAAACCAGCATGTCTTTCTTACCTTCCTTCCAACATAAACAGGAATGCCAATGACCATGGCAGGAATGGCAATGCCAGCAATGAGAGAAATCCCCACTGGAGCACCAATCAACGTGCCCAGCTGCCAAAGAATTTTCTTCTTACGGCTCCATGGCTTCTTGCCCCAGAATGTACAGCCAGAGGGGCTGCAAGGGAAACAGACTGAAGTTAATGTCAACATTACAAATGCAGCTATTGTTATCAAAGGGCCTGATAACAGCAACAGCCTTCTTTTCAATAAGAGTGATTAACAGAAAAGTTTACGGGAAATGAATATATTACACAAGGGAGAGCAAAGGACAAGGCCAGACTATTAGAGCTCTGGGCTCTTTAACTTTTTTGGTTGTTGTTGTAAAGACAGGCTTCCAGATTTGAAACTCCTTTTCCATTCTTCTCTGCTGAATTCTGTCTTCCCTAACCCACCAAAACTGATCTAGCTTCCATGACTGACAATACTTGGGATGCTGCATAGCCTTATGAACTTGACACCCCATCCAGACACACTGCACCCTTCAGCTAATGAACACTCTGATTTGTGTAGTTTTCTTGGCATATGTCCTACCACACCTAATAGATACTGCAAACCATGTTCCTGGGAGAGGATATAAAAAGACCTCATCATAACCTTTGTATCAGTTTGGTATTCTGAGGTTTGGCTACTTTTACATTCAGCCCTTCTGTGCCCAATCATTTTTGCCCATTCTCTTTGTGCTATCTTCTCTATTAGAAGGGATAAGCAATTTTGAAAATAGGGATCATGTCTTATTCACCCGTATGTCCCCAATGACTAGTACACAGTAAGTACTCAAATGTTTGAAAAACTGGAAATGAAGGTGTTGTGTTTCATTTACATGATGAATGTTTGTAAATATTAACACTTTTTTTCTGTAAATATTAGCAAACATTTTGCTTGTAAATATTAACTCCTCCACAACAATATTTTAATATTCACTCAATGAGGCTGGGCACGGTGGCTCACGCTTGTAATCCCAGCACTTTGGGAGGCCGAGGCGGGCGGACCACCTGAGGTTCGAGTTCGAGACCAGACTGGCTAACATGGTAAAACCCCGCCTCCACGAAAAATACACAAATTAGCTAGGTGTGGTGGCGGGCGCCTATAATCCCAGCTACTTGGGAGGCTGAGGCAGGAGAATCACTTGAACCCGGGAGACGGAGGTTGCAGTGAATCAAGATCTAGCCACTGCACTCCAGCCTGGGTGACAGAGTGAAACTCTGTCTTAAAAAAAAAAAAAAAAAAAAAAATTCACTCAATGAATTCCTTGGGAACTCACTAAATGCAAAAAACTGTAAAAAGGTCACAACTCTAGCCTCAAGATATTTACAGTTTAGTAAGATAAGACATGTACATGAAGTATAAAGTACTGATGATATTTATGACAAAAGATAAAAGAAAGTCAAAGAATGAGGCAGAAAAAGGTGAGGCATCATGGATGAAATGGCATTTAAGTGGCTCTTAAAAGACAAGAACTGAACAAGTTGAGATAAAAGGAGGATACTGGAAGGTAGGCAGAAAGCATTCTAGGCAAAGGAAAGAACATGAACAAGTATGGAGGCAAGACAGCAAAAGGGGAAAAGCAAATCCAGACTACCTGGAATATGGCACGTATAAAAGCAAAGAAAGGTGGAAAGAACTAGAATAGTAGCTGGTGAAAACATAAAAGGAGCATATCAGAAGAACTTTTCACAGCTTCCTTAATCTGTAATGAGAGAAGGGCTGTGTCTTTTTGACATCCTTTTCCCTAAATCAGTAAAGAATAAGACTACAAAAGGAATGGATGCATTTCCCATCTTACCTGAGGTAATGCAAGTCTGAGATCTCTTTCATACAAAGCCAGCAGAATTCACAGCCACACACTGCACAGGTCATGTGATTACAGCTTCCATCATTCATCTTGATAATATAAGCACTGCATCGTGGGCATGGCTTGATGTCATCTGCTATGAGTGGGGGAGGAAGAATGGGTAGAAAAACACCCCTAGTTAAATCCAGTTTGATTTAATTATTCCGAGGAGTATATATAAGAAATGAGGCAGCAGTCAAGCACTCTTCACTGAACACTCCAAATTGTACAACCCACTTTACTGGAAGGTTGGCTATGTCTAGACCTCAGGAATTTTCATAAAACAAATCCTATCTCTCATTGAGCTGCCTATCCCAACAACTGGCATCTTACACAGCACTTGAACCACATTCTAGCAAGGAGACTTCCTTAGGGAGAAAGATGTTTCCAAGAAAAATGAAATTCCTACCAGTCGATAGGCTGGCAGATTTAAAAGAAGAATCCTACAGAAAGAATAGCCTGCAGCCTGGAATTAGCTTCACATTTTTAAAAACTTTAGTTCAGGAAATTTATTTTTCAGGTTCAACATGTATCACTGTGATTTGCTGTTAACATAGCTCACAATCCCTTACCCTGATACTTTCAAATTCAAAACCTAAAAACAACTGGGTATGCTATGTAGCATATATACCTGGTAATTTTCAGAGCAAGTTATGAACTATCATAATAAAATGATAATTTAGGAAATTATGCTGTGCCAGGAAAAAGTGAACGGCAAAATCTTTCCTACTAGCCTCTCCCAAATGACATCAGTAAAATAAAAGTACAAAGCAATAAATCCACTGACATTTTAAAATAGGTTTACTCTGACTGGTCAATGTTGGAGCTGAATGTGTGACATTCCTTCTTTTAAGGTTAATCATTAATCTATACTAATATTATTTCCTTTTCTTCAATCTGTACTCTACTTCCAAAGGCAGTGAGGCACTTAAGCCAGCTTGAAGGCAAACAGTACAGGTTTAATACTAATTAAATGTCTTTCTGTTCACAATGAAAGTTTTGAAAAAGCCCCTAGCAAAACAAAACACACTAATTGCTCTTCAATCTGAGACATATTACTAAGAAAGTAGGAACTACATAATTCAATTTTGTTGCATTTTAATTTTATATGGGTTGGATAACCTATAATGGTCAGAGAGGGAAGTGCTATCTCTTTTATAATATTGAAAATACTACCAAATGATATTTTCTGCTCTCTGATCCTTTGGAGCACTTGGGTTATACGACAAGATAATCTCTTTCAGCTTTGGGCTCACATCATGAAATACCAAATAAAGAGACAATGAGATAATGCCAACTTATACCTGGTCCAGATTCTTGCCCATAACTTAGACCTGAAGTATGTTTGGTCCGAACTCGTAAACTCTGGGCCCTCTGTTGACGGGCCATATCGCATGTCTGATTTGGATGCCATATCTGCTTGCAGTGGTAGCAGAACTCCGTCTGGCAACCTTCCCTCTCACAAGTTAGCTTCGGGCAGCTGGCACAGCCATAGGCAATAACAGCATAACTAGGTAAGGAAACAGTAAGAGATACCAGTAAGGTAAGAATGATCTAACCAAAAGAGACATTATTCATCAGAGTTAACAATGTTTGGCACTACCCCACTATCACATATGATACAGAGAAAAGAATACACATACACACACAAGCACATTTGACCAACCGTAAAATATATCCCATGTGAGAAAGTAAATTTCTTTCTTTCTTTTCTTTTTTTTTTTTTGAGACAGAGGCTTGCTCTGTCACCCAGGCTGGAGTGCAGTGGTGTAATCTTGGCTTACTGCAACCTCCACCTCCCAGGTTCAAGCAATTCTCCTGCCTCAGACTTCCTAGTAGTTGGGATTACAGGTGCAAGCCACCACACCCGGCTAATTTTTTTTTGTATTTTTAGTAGAGACGGAGTTTCGCCACGTTGGCCAGGCTAGTCTCAAACTCCTGACTTCAGGTGATCCACCTGCCTCGGCCTCCCAAAGTGCTGGGATTACAGGAGTGAGCCAACATGCCCAGCTGTAAATTTCTTGAGATTCCAAAAACACAAACCATTTATTTCCTTTAAAAAGTGGAGGTGGAGTATCATATTTATCCTGGATTTCTAGCATTTATTCAATCATAGCTGAAGCTGCTTTAGGAGTAGTTTGTCATAGTAAGTTTCATAAACAACAGGGTACAAAACTATTTCCTTTTGATAATTTGCTATATTTAGAGAGATTAGTATTCGTTTGTATGAAGGAACAGAACATTAGTGAAATAAAGAGCTATGGCAAAAAAGAAAGTTTATTTTTTAATTCTTTTTTTTTTTTTTTTTTGAGATGGAGTCTCGCTCTGTCACCCAGGCTGGAATGCAGTGGCACAATTTTGGCTCACTGCAACCTCCGCATCCCAGGCTCAAGCAATTCTCTTGCCTCAGCCTCCACAGTAGCTGGGACTATAGGTGTGCACCACCACACTTGGCTAATTTTTGTAATTTCCTTAGAGATGGGGTTTCACCCTGTGCCCAGGCTGGTCACAAACTTCCGGGCTCAAGCAATCAGCCTGCCTCAGCCTCCCAAAGTGCTGGAATTACAGGCATGAGCCACCATGCTACCTTTTCATTCTTTTCTTTTTTCTTTTTTTTTTTTTTTTTTGAGACAGAGTCTCGCTCTGTCGCCAGGCTGGAGTGCAGTGGTGCCACTCGGCTCACTGCAACCTCTGCCTCCCGGGTTCAAGAGATTCTCCTGCCTAAGTGGCTGGGACTACAGGCACACACCATCACGTGCAGCTAATTTTTGTATTTTTAGTAGAGACAGGGTTTCACCATGTTGGCCAGGATGGTCTCGATCTCTTTTATTTATTATTTTGAGACAGAAGTCTCGCTCTTTCACCCAGGTCGGACTGCAGTGGCTCTCTCTCGGCTCACTGCAAGCTCTGCCTCCTGGGTTCACGCCATTCTCCTGACTCAGCCTCCTGAATAGCTGGGACTACAGGCACCCGCCACCACACCTGGCTAATTTTTTATATTTTTAGTAGAGACGGGGTTTCACCATGTTAGCCAGGATGGTCTCAATCTCCTGACCTCGTCATCTGCCCGCCTCGGCCTCCCAAAGTGCTGGGATTACAGGCGTGAGCCACCATGCTTGGCTGGTCTCGATCTCTTGACCTTGTGATCCGCCCTCCTCAGCCTCCCAAAGTGCTGGGATTACAGGCGTGAGCCACCATGCCCAGCCTTTTTCATTCTTAAGTTCCATAGTGAAGCCAGTCTGACCATAGTCACAGAGACAATAAGCCTAAATGGACTTATGATCAGCATCCCTCTTGAAAGTTCATTTTATCTTTCCATACTTTTTCAATTCAAATCAATACCTTGAATGTCCTGATAGGCTCCAGAATCCAAGAATACCATTCCTCTATCTTATAAATTAATACAGCATTAATGCCATACCTCCCTTTCTCTCTTCTGACACATATTCTTTTTTTTTTTTTTTTTGAGACAGAGTCTCGCTATGTCGCCCAGGATGGAGCGCAGTGGCGTGATCTCAGCTCCCTGCAATCTCCTCCTCCCAAGTTCAAGTGATTCTCCTGCCTCAGCCTCCCGAGTAGCTGGAATTACAGGCGCCCACCGCCACGCCTGGCTAGTTTTTTTTTTAAGTAGAGACGGGGCTTCACCATGTTGGCAAGGTTGGTCTTGAATTCCTGACCTCTGGTGATCTGCCTGTCTTAGACTCTCAAAGTGTTGGGATTACAGGCGTAAGCCACTGCACTCAGTTGTGACACATATTCTTCATGTAAAGATTCAGAATTTATCAGCACTAACGTCGACCATTTCTTGTAGTTCATGTTGATTTACCAAGAATTAGTCTCACACAAACAATCCAATATATTTATATAACTATTAGCCTTTCTGATTAATTCCAAATATGTCAATTAAATGCTCAGATTACTCTAATAAGAAAATATAATACTTGTATAAAATAAAATTTTAGCCAGGTGAGGTGGTTCATGCCTGTAATCTCAGCACTTTGGGAGGCTGAGGCAGGAAGATCGCTTGAGGCCAGGATTTTGAGACCAGCCTGGGCAACACAGCAACAAGACCTTTTCTCTAAAAAAAAAAATCAGCCAGGCATGGTGACACATACCTGCAGTCACAGCTACTTGGGAGTCTGAGGTGGGAGGATTGCTTGAGGCTGGGAGGTTGAGGCTCCAGTGAGCCACATATGCGCCACTGCACTCCAGCCTGGGTGACAGAGTGAGATTCTGTCTGAAAAAAATAATAAATAAATAAACTGAAAGTTATGAAAGTTCATCGCATAATTTTTTTTTTTTTTTTAGGAGACAAGATCTCACTCTGTTGCCCAGCTTCTAGACAGTGGTGTGATGATAGCTCACTGCAACCTGAAACTCCTGGGCTCAAGTGATCCTATCTCAGTTCCCCAAGTAGCAGTGCATACCACCATGCCCAGCTAACTTTTTCTTTTTCTTTTTTTCTTTTGTAGAGACAGGGTTGGTCTTGCTATGTTGCCCAGGCTGGTCTGGAACTCCTGTCTTCAAGCAACCCTCCCACCTTAGTCTCCCAAAGCACTGGGATTACAGACGTGAGCCACCAAGCTTGGTCTATCACACACATTTTAAAAAAGATCAGTAACTGCAGGTTTCCGTGTTGCCATCTGCACACTGTCCTCCATTCCACACTCTCCTGCAATATTCGAAGACCTCAAATAGCTTGTGCAAAAAGCTAATAACATTTTCTGGGATTTATTCTTCAGTTTGCTTGTTTATTTGAATGTACATGAGATGTTAATTATAGCAACTCAAGTTCTCACGTTTATCATAGATTCTGCAAATTGATTTGAGAATGACACTGAAAATATAAATGACGATGTATCCTCTATGTTATATAATACAGGCTGTATTAAAACTCTTCTCAGAAAGAACAAAGTGAGAATAGGTCAACCTATGAATGCAAATGATTCATATCCTGTAGGAGTTCTGAGCAAATTTACCCCACCTAGCTGCAAAATAACTACTAAAGATAAACAACTGTCTCCTCAAGACAGTGACTAGCTTGTTATTTTGCATTAAATGGGAAAGTTACTGGATGACCTCAGAAAAGCATTAAGTCAACTTCTAAAGATACAAATTAAGTGGACAGCCAGTAGGGAGTCTTGAATACTTCATCATCCATTCCTACCTCATATGGCAGAAGTAAATGTTTATTAACATTCCTCCAGCCCCCACCTTTTTTTTTTTTTTTTGAGACGGAGTTTCACTCTTGTTACCCAGGCTGGAGTGCAATGGCGCAATTTTGGCTTACAGCAACCTCTGTCTCCGGGGTTCAAGAGATTCTCCTGCTTCAGCCTCCCAAGTAGCTGGGCTTACAGGCGCCCACCACCATGCCTGGCTAATTTTTTTGTATTTTTAGTAGAGATGAGGTTTCACCATGTTGGCCAGGCTGGTCTCGAACTCCTGGCCTTCAAGTGATCCACCTGCCTCAGCCTCCCAAAGTGCTGGGATTACAAGCGTGAGCCACCGCACCCGGCCCACTTTTTTTTTTTTCTTAAAAAGAGTGTTGGATAGGATTGACAATGTCAATTTTGAGTGTTTAATTTGGTGCCAAGGAAGTAAAATAACCCCAAATACTCATGAATCCACAGCAATCTATTACTACGACACAGAATTACTCAGGGCATGAGATTTGGCATCCTGTTTTTGGGTACCTGGTCTGAGCTCTTGCCTGTGACTCATACTGCATGACATGGAGCTATTAAAATCTCTAAACCGGCCTGGCACAGTCGCTCACGCCTGTAATCCCAGCACTTTGGGAGGCCGAGGCAGGTGGATCACCTGAGGTCAGGAGTTCAAGACCAGCCTGGCCAACATGGCAAAACCCTGTCTCAACTAAAAATACAAAAATTAGCCAGGCGTGGTGGTGCAAGCCTGTAATCCAGCTACTCGGGAGGCTGAGGCAGAAGAATTGCTTGAATCCAGGAGGTGGAGGTTGCAGTGAGCCAAAATCACACCATTTTACTCCGGCCTGGGCAACAAGAGAAAAATTCCGTCTCAAAAAAAAAAAAAATCTCCAAACCTTAACTTCTGTTCCACCAAATGGAGGTATAGGTGCTTGTCACATTCAAACGTAGCTAACAAGTTCTAAAACTGCACGAGAGACCTTGTCCTGAAAGATGTATGGTGTAAAAACATCGCACACTATGTCCTACCTCCTGGCCTTTACATACTCTATTCCTTCTACCTAGAAATGCCTTGTCCTTACTTCTTGCCCTGACAAGTACCCATTTAAGAACCAACTCAAGTGTCATCTTCTCTGTAAAATATACTTAACCTCTCTAGGCAGCTGGTTGCCTACATCGTGGGTGTGCACAATTATTTTATAACACTTATCACATTATATTGTAACTATCTGTTTATATGCTTGCCTCCCAAACCACACTGGACTTAAGGAAACATATCATCCACTTTTTAATCTCAGTCTAGTACACTGGTTCATGCTCAAAATAACTGTATTGCATGAATGAC